AGAAATGATCAGTCTATAATTTTAATGGTAGGTTTATTTGAACAGTGAGAGACAGAGTAACAACAACAAATCCAGAAAAACGCATGTCAAAAATTGTTATAAATTGATTTGTATTTTAACGAGGGAAATAAGTATTTGACCCCTCTGCGAAACTTGACTTAGTACTTGGTGGCAAAACCCTTGTTGGCAATCACAGAGGTCAGACGTTTCTTGTAGTTGGCCACTAGGTTTGCACACATCTCAGGAGGGATTTTGTCCCACTCTTCTTTGCAGATCTTCTCCAAGTCATTAAGGTTTCGAGGCTGACGTTTGGCAACTCGAACCTTCAGCTCCCTCCACAGATTTTCTATGGGATTAAGGTCTGGAGACTGGCTAGGCCACTCCAGGACCTTAATGTGCTTCTTCTTGAGCCACTCCTTTGTTGCCTTGGCCGTGTGTTTTTGGTCATTGTCATGCTGGAATACCCATCCACGACCCATTTTCAATGCCCTGGCTGGGGGAAGGAGGTTCTCACCCAATATTTGACGGTACATGGCCCCCCGTCCATCGTCCCTTTGATGCAGTGAAGTTGTCCTGTCCCCTTAGCAGAAAAACACCCCCAAAGCATAATGTTTCCATCTCCATGTTTGACGGTGGGGGATAGTGTTATTGGGGTCATAGGCAGCATTCCTCCTTCTCCAAACACGGCAAGTTGAGTTTATGCCAAAGAGCAAAATTTTGGTCTCATCTGACCACAACACTTTCACCCAGTTGTCCTCTGAATCATTCAGATGTTCATTGGCAAACTTCAGACGGGCATGTATATGTGCTTTCTTGAGCAGGGGGGCCTTGCGGGCACTGCAGGATTTCAGTCCTTCACGGCGTAGTGTGTTACCAACTCTTTTCTTGGTGACTGGTCCCAACTGCCTTGAGATCATTGACAAGATCCTCCCGTGTAATTCTGGGCTGATTCCTCACCGTTCTGATGATCATTGCAACTCCACGAGGTGAGATCTTGCATGCAGCCCCAGGCCTAGGGAGATTGTCAGTTCTTTTGTGTTTCTTCCATTTGTGAATAATCGCACCAACTGTTGTCACCTTCTCACCAAGCTGCTTGGCGATGGTCTTCTAGCCCATTTCAGCCTTGTGTAGGTCTACAATCTTGTCCCTGACATCCTTGGAGAGCTCTTTGGTCTTGGCCATGGTGGAGAGTTTGGAATCTGATTGATTGATTTCTTCTGTGAACAGGTGTCTTTTATACAGGTAACAAGATGAGATTAGGAGCACTCCATTTAAGAGTGTGCTCCTAATCTCAGCGCGTTACCTGTATCAAAGACACCTGGGAGCCAGAAATCTTTCTGATTGAGATGAGGTCAAATACTTTTTTCCCTCATTAAAATGCAAATCAATTCATAAAATTTTTGACATTCGTGTTTCTGGATTTTGTTGTTGTTATTCTGTCTCTCACTGTTCAAATAAACCTACCATTAAAATTATAGACTGATAAGTTATTTGTCAGTGGGCAAACGTACAAAAAATCAGCAGGGGATCAAATACTTTTTTCCCTCACTGTATGTAGTGGGTTTACTTTGCAACAAACAACACAACCGGTTAGTACTGTAACTATTAACTAATTGGCTACGTTTTTGTGTTATGTGACAAACCCCTCTACTGATTGGCTGTGTCAGGTGGTGGTGGCGGTTATAACGACGACACAACATTTCTATTCACGCGATCTAACCACCACCCCTAACCCCCCCAAAAAAGGAATAATCTTAAGGAAGTGAAGTACAGGTTGCAAATACGCTCCGTAATCTTGATTTGAAGCTTTCGTGACTGCAGGAATCCATACTCTTTGGTTATTTCATTAAAGTCACGTAGGCAGAAAAAAAAAACTACGACGTTTTGATCGCAACACAACCGGTGTTGCGATCGAAATACAAAAAATATAATCTAGCTGAGGAACTGCTGAACCGCAGCAGTTCCACTGCTGGATTATATTTTTTTCCGCCTGAGGACGACTGCTTGTTTTGCGATCGAAACGTCGTGATTAATTATATTTTATACCTACGTAACTTTACCGAGAGAACCGAAGAGTACGCTCCGTAATTTAGACTAACAGTGACACAAATTAACGAAACAAAAAACTCAGTGAAAACGACACGGGAGCAAGAGGCGCCAGGAGTGTAGGCACATGGGCAAGTTAAGCACCGTGTGGTTTCGTTTCATTAGCGCCACGACTGTGGCTCGGAGGCGTTTACTACCTCTCCTGCCATGCAGGAGGTCGTGGCCTCGACGAAATCGGCTCCGCATGACGCGCCTCCGATGAGCGCGGTTGGCTCCGTACAGTGGTGCACAAGAAGACTCAACACACATACACACACACACGATACACTACACTATACACTACACTACGCTACTATATGCTGTACTATACACAACCTACGATTACCACTGTTGGCTAAGTACGGTGCCAGAGAAATTCAACAGACATACAGAGGAAGTGGCGGGTTTACATTAATCCACGTGCCGGCTTTCATCCAGCAGTGACTTTTTATTGTACACCACGTGTTAGGCCCCACCGAGCTGTTGTGTAGCTATTTTATTATTATTACGCGCTTTTATTTATCTCACTCTGTCTGTCGTTGTTGTTGTCGTATCCTCAAATTTTGTAACTCAATTTTAACCCACTTCCCAATGTGCTATCGACTGCAAACTTGGTATACTTATGTCATACTGATGGCAATACTATATTCTATCATTAAAAATAAAAAAAACATATTTTTAAACCATCTCTTTTACATGTTATTTTCGGCTTGGGTCTAATTGTCCACGCTCAACTGACGTTGGCTGTTAAACACCACGGTCTCTTACGTTATGGCAAGCTTTGGGGCCACTTCCTGGAGTAGTGGAGTTCTTCCTTGACTCGTACGGTACATTTCATTAAAGCGTGTTTAAAAAAGTATTTTTAAATATTACTTATTTCAGAAGTGACCCGGCCATCACAAATGATACCAGCTCAACGAAGTGGCTGAATCTTGACTTAAAGCCCTTCGTGACTGCAGGAATTCATATTCTTTGGGTTTTTCGGTAAAATCACGTAGATAGGTTCAAAGAAAGTAACAAGAAACTACGACGTTTCGATCGCAACACAAGCGGTCGTCATCAGGAAAAGGGGGTTAGCTTGTGAAGGCAAACTGTTTATAAAGGTTTGAAATGGGCGTAACCCAAACGTCAGCAACATGGGCGGGGCAGCTAATGTTAATGTAAGTGGTGGGCGTCGACCGCGACGGTGGTGGGTTTTCCACCAATTGAAGGGCTGCCAGGCAAAAATTAGCATGTTAATGTAAGAACGGTGATCGGCCTCCATGGCGAGCGCGCTGAGGTGGCTATGTCAATGTGAGAGATTAGCATGTTAATGGAAGATCGGTGATCGGCCTCCATGGCGAGTGCGCTGAGGTGGCTATGCTAATGTTAGAGATTAGCATACTAATGTAAGATCGGTAAGCGGCCTCCACTGCGAGTGCGTTGAGGTAGCTATGTTAATGTGAGAGACTAGCATGTTAATGTAAGATCACAGAGCCGCAACCTCTAGGTCTGCCCGCGAAGGTGGCTGTGTTAGTTTGAGAAATTTTACCTGTTAAGGTAAAATCGGAGAGCCGAAAATAACAACTAACATTGGAAGGTGGTAGGATGGGAATATCACAGCCAGTTATGACTAAAACTGGTTGATAACGTCCTTCCTCAGTTTGTACCCATCTTCTCGGTTTAAATTGTGTCTGTATATATGGATGGCTTCATGAACGAATCTTTGTTGATAGCCAGTGGGTTTGCAAAGTACCTTCGTCTTAGAGAAATACATTTCATGTGAGCCCACCGCATTAAAACAATGATCAGCCACGGCAGAGGTATTGGTCCTACCGTGTTTCAGATCTGCCTTATGTTCACGAACATGGTCCGAGACATGCCGCTTAGTTCCCCCAATGTAACTGCTGCAGACAGCTTAGTTTGTAGATGCCGGAGTATTGCATGTCAGGGATCACATCCTTCACAGATGGGATCAGATCACGAATTTGATGTACTATGTTAAATCGAACCGAAAGACCCAACGAATATGAAGTGGCTGTTATCATTATCACGTGGAAATGTATATCAGCTGCCAAATACTCTTAACGCACGTTTCTACAGACTCAAAGAGACCCATATAGAACCACAGAGACCCACACAGACTCACAGATACCCATAGAGATCCATAGAGACCCATACTCATAGAGACCCGTACTCAGAGACCCACAGATATTTAGAGACCCATATAGAACCATAGAAACCCACAGAGACCCACACAGGCCCATAGAGTATCATACTCATGGAGACTCACAGAGATCCGGAAACCCATGTAGAACAGTAAATACCCATAGACACTCATTTTCATCGAGACCCATACTAAAGCTAAACTATTTTTTATTTTACCAGGTCAGTCCCCACTGAGCAGTGTAGCTCTTTTTCAGACAAGCGACCTGGCCATCGCGAAATGACAGCAGCTCAACGAATTGGCCGATATCATCATCGTGTGGACATTTACAGGAGCAGCCAAATACTCTAAACGCACGTTTCTAGAGAACTCATGGGGACTCAAAGAGATCCAGAGATCAGCGTCACGTGGAGACAAATCCATGCGACCACGGGTAGAGAGAGAGAGACATGCAAACTCCAAATCTACAGCAGCAGGCGTCAGGGTTAGCATCGAACCCACGAGCCTCCCTGTATACCAAGCAGAGCCGGCCCTAGACCTTTGGGGGCCCTAAGCAAAATTTGGTTGGAGGCCCCTTTGATGTATGATTTTTTTCACCCACGAGCTAGCAGTGACTCTAGGGGGGCCTCTGCTGGCCACGGGGCCCTTTGCAATTGCAAGGGTCGCTTAGTGGCTGGGTCGGCTCTGATACCAAACGAGGTAGTTAACATCTCCTAGCCACCACGGCGCCGATGACGATGGTGAGTGAATGAGGAGCTGTTGTCCTCACCATTAGCAAAAGACGGAGCATCGCTGTCCACGGGGTCATGACGATCTCCTGCTCCTCGTCACGAACTCCTCTCAGTCTCCCAGTCGCTCGAGACGCTTTGTTGGCCGCCAGTCATGTGCGTGTGTCTGTGCGTTTGTGAGATTGAGCGTGAGTGTCTGTGTCTGTATGTGTGCGGTTGAGTGCGAGTGAGTGTCTGATTGTGTGAGAGAGATTGAGTGTGAGTGTCTGTGTGCGTGTGAGTGGCTGTGGGTGATTGAGTTTGAGTGTGTGAAGGAGAGATTAAGCGTGAGTGTCTGAGTGTGTGAGAGAGATTGAGTGTGAGTGAGTGTCTGAGTGTGCGTGTGAGTGTCTGTGCGTGTGTGAGATTGAGCGTGAGTGTCTGTGTCTGTGTGTGTGCGGTTGAGTGTGAGTGAGTGTCTGAGTGTGTGAGAGAGATTGAGTGTCTGTGTGCGTGTGAGTGTCTATGTGCGTGTGAGTGTCTGTGTCTGTGTGTGATTGAGTTTGAGTGTGTGAAAGAGAGATTAAGCGTGAGTGTCTGACTGTGTGATGGAATGTGAGTGTCTGAGTATGTGAGAGATTGAGCGTTAGTGAGTGTCTGTCTGTTTGTGAGATGGAGGGGGTGTGTATTTGCACCTGTCCCAACAGTCTGTTAAGGCTATAGGGGTATATTTGACTTTGTGTATGCGTGAGAGTGATTGAGTGTATGTGTGAGATTGAGCGTGTGGATAAGCGTGAGAGTGTGTGTGTGGATAAGCGTTAGAGTGAGCGAGTGTGAGTGAGTGTGTGTATGAGTGAGCGAGAGTGAGTGTGTGGATTAGCGTGAGAGTGAGCGAGTGAGAGTGAGTGTGTGGATGAGCGAGAGTAAGTACGTGAGAGTGTGTGGATGAGCGAGAGTAAGTGAGAGTGAGTGAGAGTGTGTGGATTAGTGAGAGTGAGTAGTGAGAGTGAGTGAGAGTGTGTGGATTAGCGAGAGTGAGTAGTGAGTGAGAGTGTGTGGATGAGCGTGAGAGTGATTCGACTGTGATAAAAACGTGAGTGAGCTCCGCTTGGTCTTGTTGGTCTTGAACAAGCAAAGCGACCCTTCCAGAATCAAGTGTAAAACCGGCACTGCGTAAAAAAAAAACACCTACCGCTTATCCTTAAAATGCGGTCAGGTGAGTGACGTCAGTCGGTGGATGTGCTAAGAGAAGGGAGTGGCAATGTACAAAGACAAAGGTTATCCCCCGGTGTAGCCTTAACAGACTGTAGGGGCAAGTGCTATAAAGGCTGCCACGGCACTCGATGGGGTAGGTGACCAGCACCACTCCCGCCCGCCTTTGTCTCCCCAGTGACGATGTTTACCACATTCCACTGCAGCAGGTACTCATTTGGGTCTGAGTCGACCTGGGGGAGACCCAGGACCGGTTCATATATTCACCGGTGGTGTTGGTGGCGGTGGCCGTGAGCGGGAATCGAACTCGGGTCATAGCCAGGTTGGTCGCGTAGCGCAGCGTGCGAACTGCTGTGCCATCGCTCCTCCCGTATGTACGCGTGGAATGCGAGACTAAAGCACAGCGCCTCCTTCCCAGATGTGTATCTGCGCCAAGGCCGTAATCTTCCATTTCTATAAATGCAAAGTTGCGATTGTGTGACTGTTCAAAATGTTTAGCGTACTTCCCGACATGCAACAAATTTGAAATTTTCCATGTGTATACTTTCCAGACTGTACACCATGCAAAAATTATAAAAATACACTTTGGTATTTTTTTGGGGGGGGGTGGGGAGCTCAATAATGCATTTATTTTTTGCACGGCAAGTGAGCTGTGACGTCACATCTGTCATGTGACCCGCGCATGTGGAAGCGTCACGAAGTGTGCCTACGCATGTCACCCCCCACCCAAACCCTCCGCGGCGCGAGTAAAGTGCCATACAAATGTATTGCAGGTCTAAGGCGTTCTTCGCGCAGCATTGCTTTATTTATTTCAGTCGTTAACTGCCCTACACACCCTGAAAGTTGCGTGTGTCTGCAGCAAGTGCGGCGTGTTTGTGTACCTATGGACGCGCGCACGTGTTTGTGTGTGTGGGGAGCGGTAGTGTCGTGGTTAGCGCGCTGCCCTACGAACCCGGCGACCCGAGTTCGATTCCCGCTCACGGCCACCACCACTCAGTGACGATTCTCTGAACCGGTCCTGGGCCTCCCCTAGGTCGACTCAGCCTCAAACGAGTAACGGGCGTGGTGAATCCAAGTCCCGGGCGAAGCCGGGTAGTAAAGCTAGTTATAATATGTACAGTGATACCTCGGTTCACGAACTTAATTCGTGAACTGACTCTGGTCGCGAACCGAATTGGTCGTGAACCGAGGCACATTTTCCCATAGGGTTCAATGTAAATCCGGTTAATCCGTTCTGACCTTTTTTTTTGGTTTTTGAAGCACAAAAATATGAAACAAATTACAATACACATTAGTACTGTACAGTATAGTAATGTATAAAGAGAGAACACTAACCTTGCTTGAGATGACTTCAGTAAGCACTCAAACGGGTGAACTGTACAATACAGTAAGTACAGTATTGTACAGTACAGTAGTACAGTACAGTACTGTATGTGCTAAAAAGCACACCAAAAAGAAAAAAGTCACTGAAAGTGTCTTCACAGTACTCACAGTACTTATTTCTGTGTCTCTTCTTCTCTCCACGAACTTCCTACTGGAAGTCACGACCATGTGACAGCCTGGAAATAGCATTTTAAAATGGCCGCGGCTCCTGTTCGTGAACCGAAGCGGAGTTCGTGAACCGGAGCATATTTTTATGAACTTTTCTTTTCGTGAACCGAGTTGTTCGTGAACAGAAGCGTTCGTGAACCGAGGTATCACTGTATTGGGGGACACACATTCCCCCCCAATATTCAAATTTGCTAAAAATATTCCCCCCAATATATTTCTATAAAAAATGTATTGCGATGCTATGTAAATAAAAAAGAACTACAGTAAAACCTTGGATTGCGAGCATAATTCGTTCCGGAAACGTGGTTGTAATCCAAAGCACTCGTATATCAAAGCACTCGTATATCAGTTGTGATCACGTGACGCTCGGCAGACAAAACGTACTACTCGTATTGCAAGACCTCGCTCGTTTATCAAATTAATATTTATAAAAAAAAATTACTCGTCGTGCAAAACACTCGCAGACCAAGTTACTCGCAATCCAAGGTTTTACTGTATTTGCTAAACCTTGGCCACAATATCTGGACTTGTCTTCATATAAATCAATGCATAGATTTCTGTTTATATGATTGTGGTTATGGTTGTACTTTATGAATCCCTAATCTCTGCCATTACATACAATGAAATAAGAAAAAGTAAAAAAGTAAAAACAGAGCAACGTAATACAATACACTATTAGACATTATTGTAAAAAATAAATATAAAGTCCATCCCATGTGTTAGTTAATTTTTTTTTATATTTTAGGCAGGAAATGAGTTTTCAAATTTAGATATTTTTCTAGGATGGGACCCCCAGACATCCCGGAAAATTTGGTCCCCCCCAATGTTGACTCTATGGCTACGGCCTTGATCTGTGCAGAGACTAAAATTAACCAATATTTGTATTCATTTGACCAGGGGTAAGGCCCCACTGAGCTACTGTGTAGCTCTTTTATCAGAAGCGACCTGGCCATGACACGTGATAGCAGCTCAACGAATTGGCTGATATCATCATCACGTGGAAAATGTATGTCAGCAGCCAAATAACTCTAAACGCGTGGTGATGTTGGTTCTGAATGTGTATGGGAGAACCGGAGGACCCGGATAAAGATCCATACGGCCACGGGGAGAAAGAGAGAGACATGTAAACTCCAAATATACAGTAGGCGTTGTGGTAGGAATTGAACCCACGACCTCCTGTATACCAGGCGAGGCTGATGACATCTTGCCACATACTAATTTTATTCATGAATGTGTTTTTACGTTATGTGAATTGTTGACGTGAACTTAGCAATATCGTTCTTTTATGCAGTCGATGTTCGGTAAATAACGCTTCTCATTTTCATAGGCATAACTGTGGCATGCGGTCCGATTGAGTTTGGCATCCCTACTAGTAATGCATGATGTTGATTTTAAATGTTGAGGGAAAAACCCGGAGGCATTCTTAGGGTTGATATCGAACCCATACGAGACGAGGTAGTTAATTCCTGCCTAACCACCTTGGCAACAAATGAACGCATATGATTGGCAATGTTGGTTCAATACAAGCTAAACTCTGGACTGGTTTTGACATCAAGTGTCTGATAAATATAGTCAGGTGCGTTTTTTAACCATTGTGTAGGGGACTGAATAGGGAATAAAACGTTCCATGGAGCTACTAAAGATGAATAAAATACTCGCACGAAGTACCCGGCTTTGCACGGGGTAAAAATGTATTTCAAAACTTGTCTTCTCTTAAAAAACATAAATTACAGATACACAAATACTAAGCTGTTGTGAAAGCCCGGTGTTCCGTTCGTCTGTCCATTTGTCCGTCAAAAAAATTATAAAAGCCTTTCAGAAGTCCTGAATCAAAAAGTAATTAAAGGTGGGGGGTAAAGAGTTGATCTAAAATGTTTCCAAAAATTGTCAACCCCCACCCAAAATAATTTTACCGTCCCCAGGAAATTTGTATTTTGTAGACATTTTCCTACACACCCTACATACGAGTCAGCAGTATCAGGTGACTCTGGAGTAGTACCTATTGATTATACAGTAGTGTCTACTGACTCTACAATAGTATCTACTGACTATCATAGTAACTACTGACTGTATTGTAGTATATACTGACTAAAATCTAGATTTGAAGTTTTCGTGACTGCAGGGATCCATACTCTTTGGTTCTTTCGGTAAAGTCACGTAGGTATAAAATTAAATAAATTAAATCACGACGTTTCGGGCGTAACACAAGCACCCGTCATCAGGTGGGACAACCACAGCAATAAACAATTGCTGAAGTGGGCAAAAGGGGGCTGCTTGTAACAAGATATATAAGTAAGAGAGGGGGGAGGAGGAGCCCCTCCCCTCCAGTCACGTGGTTTGTTGAAACCACGTGACTTGAAACCACGTGACTGGTGGGAGGATCCGCGCTCCTCATTAGTCAGCTGTACCAGGGTTGGGGGGGGAGGTCGCGATGCTAGGGAATTCCCCCCCCCCCCCCATGCGTTACTATTGTAATAAAGATCGTGGAAGCGACTTCTGGAATCCGGTCTTTATTTGTCTTTCGTTCACAACACTCCCATCTTACTCCTTCACGCTACTGACAGACAGCTTGAGAGGGAGAGAGAGAGACACACGCGGCCACGTGGCAGCCTGGACCCCGCTCCAGCGTGGCCTCTCCTTTCCGTTCGTTCCAGATCTGACCACGTGTTGTCCGTCTCCACCAGTGGCGGCTCGTCAATAGAGGGCGCAGGGGCGCCGCCCCCATCAATATTCAAGAAATATACATATACAAAATTTATGTAAAAATACATAAATAAAATATTTTTTTCATACGATGTGCCGGCTGGTAGTAAGAAAAGCATCAGCATTTAATAAAAACTGGCTTTAATCGGTCAACTATTTTCTATGTTTTTCAATGTGTTTCATGCGGGGCGCCGGACAAATGGATGTCTATGTGAGACTTTAAATTTTCGGACAGCATGTGACCTGAAGCTGGTCTCTAATTGGTTTCTTAAAGATTCTCCTCGGGGCGCAAGTCGTTGCGTCCCTGGCCAATCAGAATTGGATACATGTTATTTTATCCAATCTGATTGGTTCTCGTCACCTGTCATTCAAATTTACGCTCTGGGCCACTACTGCGAGTGCGCAGGCGACACCACTTTGACACTTGCTAGGCTGATCAAATTTTTTGTGTAAACAATGGCAGCAGTTCATCCAAATTCTGTAATTTATTTACAAAAAAACCCTTTCACAAGGCTTTCGCTGGAAGAAATAAAAAAGATAAAGGATCTCGGACCGGACCAACCTGATTCACAAATCCAGCAGCAGGCCAGTGACAGAGGACGAAGCTACACACGAAGCTTCACCCGCGCTTGTTATGAGAAACGGAGGTGGCTGGCTGGATGTGATGTTAGCAATTCTCTTTTTTGTTTTTC